AAACAGGCTCCAGGCTCTGAGCCATCAGCCCAGAGCCTGACGCGGGGCTCGAACTCACGGACCGCGAGATCGTGACCTGGCTGAAGTCGGACGCTTAACCGACTGCGCCACCCAGGCGCCCCATAGAATTCCATTCTTTACTAAAGGAGGAATTTAACAAACAAGCAAAAAAATTAAAAAGCCAACACTCAGGGAAGGCAAAATATCTGATACAAGAACATAAGCATATTAATCATTTGATGTCTCAGAAAAGCTGAAAATCAATTCTATCAATGTGAAGAACAGGAATGATAATCTCTGAAGAAGTAAATACAGAAATCAAATGGAAAAATTACTTTTTAGGAAGTGAATTTCAACATAACTTATCTCTTGGTCCCAACCCCTTCAGAATAATTCTAGGCAAAGGCAGAAAACCTCTAAAACAACCTGGGGGAAAACTGAGAAGAATGAACACTAAAGAACACCAGATACTAATCAATCACAAGAAAAGAATCATCTTAAAAACACTTAAGGGGGCACCTGGCTGCCTCAGTCGGTAGAACATGCAACTCTTGATCTCAGAGTTGTGAGTTCAAGTCCCATGTTGGGTGTAGAGGTTACTTAAAAAATAAAATAAAATTGGGGTGCCTGGGTGGCTCAGTTAAGAGAAATTAAATGGCTCAGGTCTAAAATCTATCTAACCCCTGGGGCTCCTGGGTGGCTCAGTTAAGCATCTGACTCTTGATCTCTGTCAGGTCATGATCTCACAGTTCATGTGTTCAAGCCCCCCACTGGGATCTGCGAGAATGATGCGGAGCCTGCTGGGGATTCTGTCTCTCCATCTCTCTGTTCCTCCCCCACTTTTGCTAAGACTCTCTTTCTCTCAAAGTAAATAAATAAACTTTAAAAAAAATCTATCTAACCCTTATCAGTTAGGCAACATTATGCTCTGTTTCCTCTTGAGCTAATTGGAAATAAGTCCAATTATGCATTGCAGGATTAACATGAGGATCAAATGAGATAGTATACACGTGTGTGTCATACACATATGTATATGACACAGACATATATATCACATCTTGCAAATGTTTGATCATTACTTTATATCTTCTTTGCATAACTGATGACCATCTCTACATTTTATGTTAACATTCTCCAGTTACTATTGGCATTTTTTCAACAAACTTTCAAAACAAGGCAATAATCTTTGCTCAATTTAAACCCACACCATGGAAACCCTGGCTGCTTTACTTGGACTGAAGGTCTGCCAAAATTCCACTCCAGGTGGCTAAGCAATAATAAACAAGAACTTACTGTTTCATCACATCCTCACTCATTTTGTGAATAAGTTTTTCTCCAAATTTAGTGGCTAATTTTGAACTTTTAAAATACTGCTATATTTTCTCCCCCAGTTAAAAAACTTTAAAAAACCTAAATATGGGTGCCTGGGTGGCTCAGTTGGTTAAGCATCTGACTCTTAATTTCAGCTCAGGTCATGATCTCATGGTCCTGAGATCAAGATTAGGATTCTCACTCTCCCTCCCCATCTGCCCCTCCCCTGCTCCTGCTAGCTCAAAAATAAGTCAATAAAATACCTAAATACCAAAACAAAAAACATTTTAAAACTTAAAATTCAAGATATTTAAAGAAAGTTACACCAACGAGAAAAAAAATGCAGTATTAAGAGTACAGCACTTCAAGATATGAAACCATGTTTCTCTACTATCCATTTGCCCACCCCACACAAATTCTAGCACTGAAAAGGCAATTTTCAGATTTCTGAGAATGTCCCAATGTTCTATTTATTTTTATTTTATTTTTTCATTTTAGAGAGCACGCACAAGCAGAGATCATGACCTGAGCCGAAATCAAGAGTTGGACATTCAACTGACTTAGCCACCCAGGCGCCCCTGTTCTATATTTTAATAACGGACATAATTTTTAAGATTAAACACATGCACACAGCAGGTCATCAAACATTTGCAGAATTTAAGACATATTTACTGGGGCACCTGGGTGGCTCAGTCAGCTGAGCATCCAACTTGATTGAGTTCAGGTCATGATCTCCATCTTGCAGTTGGTGAATTTGAGCCCCACATCAGGCTTGCTGCTGTCAGCCCGTCAGCACAAAGCCTGCTTCTGATTCTCTGTCCTCCTCTCTCCCCCTCTCCTGCTTGCACTCTCTCAAAAATAAATAAACATTTTTTAAAAAGACATATTTACTTATAATACAACTACAGACCATAAATGAGCCACCTGATCAATGAATAGAACAGCAAGCAGCCAGGAAAAAAACTCCAGAAAATAGTACAGCATCATACTATGAAGTTTTAATCAGTTTCTGTACAATTTGATTAAAGGATTTTTTATTGAGATATAATTCACATACCATAAAATTTGTACTTTAAGGTATGCAATTTGGTAGTTTTTAATATATTCACAAAGGTTTGCAACCATCATCACTACCTAACTCTGGAACATTTTCATCATCCCAAAAAGAAACCCCAAGCCCATTAATAGTTACTCTCCATTCCCACCTCCCATCAGCCTCTGTCAACCACTAATCTACATTGTATCTCCATGTGTTTGCCTGTTTTGGACACATGATATAAATGGAATCACATAATTTGTAGCTTTTGTGAGTTTGATTAAATCTTATATTTCATTATGCTGTGTTTCTCTCTTTTTTTTCCTAATTACTAGGCATGATCAAAGCAATGTTACCATCTTTTCAGGAGAAATACTTTAAAAACGTAACACAGATACACATAAAACAAACACACAAAGAGCAGAAAATTGTATTGTGAGGCTGATATGGAATAACAGATACAGGTACAATGAACACTACATAAATGAACACACTGTAATCTTGACAACCTTTGCTATAAAATTTCTGAAAAACATGTAATTTTAAAAAGAATCCTCACCAACATTTTAGCATTTTCCAAACTACTAATTTAACTTACTACCATAAATTTTAATTACTGCACTTTACTATTATGAAAAAACACTAAACTATAAAAAATGTATACAGCAATAACAATCCAAAGAAGTCCCAGAAACAAATATGCAAATAGTTGTGATATTTAGGTGATGGGAAAATACAGTTTTTAAATGTTTTTAAGTTTGTTGTTTAAGTAATCTCTATACCCAATGTGGGGCTCTAACCCCTGACCCCAAGATCAAGAGTCACATATTCCTCTCAGTCAGCCAGGCACCCCAAACATACTTTATTTTTAGTTTAAACGTATTATCATTGTCACTTTTTGAAAGGCATTTTTTTTTTTAATTTTTTTTCAACGTTTTTTATTTATTTTTGGGACAGAGAGAGACAGAGCATGAACGGGGGAGGGGCAGAGAGAGAGGGAGACACAGAATCGGAAACAGGCTCCAGGCTCTGAGCCATCAGCCCAGAGCCCAACGCGGGGCTCGAACTCACGGACCGCGAGATCGTGACCTGGCTGAAGTCGGACGCTTAACTGACTGCGCCACCCAGGCGCCCCTGAAAGGCATTTTTAAGGGCACCTGGGTGGCTCAGTGAGCTAAGCATTCGACTTTGGGTCAGGTCATGATTTAACAGTTCATGAGATCGAGCCCCATGTCAGGCTCTGTGCTAACAGCTCAGAGCCTGGAGTCTGCTTCAGATTCTGTATCTCTCTCTGCCCCTCCTCCACTCATGCTGTCTCTCACTCTCGCTCTCTCTCTGTCTCCAAAATAAATAAACATTTAAAAAAAGGCATTTTTAAAATACATCCAAAATTTTTCAGGCTCGATGTTATAAATAGGCAAAAGCAGGAATTTCTCAACTGTTCATGTGAATATATGACTACTTCCATATCTAAACTAAATATATACAATATGGAAAGATGACACTAATACACTGTTCAATTATAAAAAATAATTTGAAGAACTATATGTATAGCATCTTAGCCATATGGAAACAAAACACTATCGCTTATATAGGTGTGTGTTTGCATGTATATATTTAAAAGATATTCACCAAACTGTTAACAGTGGTTACTCCTGGAGAATGAGTCTAAAAAGAGTAAAGGGACATTCACTTTTTATTTCACATATTTTTGTATTAACTGCCTATTTAATAGTAAGAACATGCTACCTTTCATAATTTTTTAATCACTAATATTTTTAATTACTTGAAGGTGCCAACAGTTTAGAGTATTTTCTTCTAAATAGAAATCAAAGTACATTAATTCAACACCTTATGCCAATTTTCTTTTTTGAGAGAGACAGAGTAAAGAGGGGCAGAGGGAGAGGGAGAGAGTGAGAATCTTAAGCAGGCTCCATGCCCACTCAGCACAAGTCCGACATCTCGATCTCACAATCAGGTCTCGATCTCACGATTGGGTCTAAATCTCACGACCGTGGCATCATAACCTGAGCCAATATCAAGAGTCAGACATTTAATTGACTGAGCCGCCCAGGCACCCCTTTTTGTGTCAGTTTTTAATTACCCAAACCAAGGGAAAAATTGAACATGGCAGCAAATGCCAAAAGGTTATATTTGGCTTCCAAATATATAATAGGTTTTTGTAGATCTTCACTCATAATATACCCCACAAGAAGCATCTGAGTGGTACCCTGAAAAGTCTATGATGAAAACTTGGCTGTACAATAGCTATTTAGTAAAGATAATTAACATTACCTTTAGTATTCACAGTTTACCCTAACATACCCATTCTTTAACAATCATTGCCAACACATGTGGAACCAGAAGTTAACAGCACTCTGAGAGAAGACAGTTACACAGACTAATAGAAAATACAGGTAGCTCTTAATTTCAAAACAATGAACCAAGCTGGAAAACATCAAACCAAGTTTTAGAAGAGAGGGGAAGAAGAAGAAATAGGAAGCAATGTCTCACATTCTTTCCTTTCTGATTTTATCTCATGATGGCTCAAACCTGAACTCCTCAGTGAACTCACCAAAAAGGGGCTCTAGGACCCACTTGAAATGTGCAAATCAAACAGGAAGAATCAAACAGGAAGACATTAGAAGCATACCTTTTCCAAAATGAACTTGTTTAAATACGGCATGTAGCCCTGATTGGAGACGGGCCCCTCATCGTCATCCCTGAAGTGCTCTTCAAGGGCAACAGGGTCATGTGGAACCTTCAGCACCGTGCACAGGTTATGAGAAAGGACCTATGGGGGAAAGAAAGTAGTTTAAAGGCATCCACTACCCAGCACATGGCAGCTTCACTGAACACAATGGCTCAGTGTGCGTTGGTCCTGCCCTAGGGAGAGAAAAATGGAGAATAAGCCAGCAAGTATCGGGTGAGTACTTCTTGGCTGCCAGCTCCTCACTTGGCTGTTACCTCATTCCCTCCCCAGTGTTGGTTCACTTCAAACAAGTCTCTGTTACATACCGACAATGAGCCGGCTCCAAGCAAGATCTGTGACTATACATGGGAATAAAAGGCACAGCACAGGGAATACAGTCAATGATATTGTAATAGCACTGTATGGCGACAGATGGTGGCTACACTTGTGGTGAGCATAGCTTAACATACAAAGAAGCTGAATCACTATTTTGTACACCTGAAACTAATGTACATCGTGTTTCAACTCTAGTCAAATTAAAACAAAAATTTTTATCTGTGACTATAATATTCCTTATAGTTTTTTATTAATTGGCCCACATTAGAAAGAAAAAGGAGGTTAAGAGTAAGAGGATGTTTTCAAAATTAAACTTCTCCCCAAGTAGAGCAGTGTCAGAACCGTAAGAGAAAGAATGTGGTGCTGGGCACCTGCAGCACAGGGTTCTGGACAAAGTGACTGATCTGAGCCACTCACATTTCTCTGGGCTTCAGTGTTCTCACTTGTTCAACACAAAGGGCCAAGTTAATACACAAATGTACCAAATATTAATTAGCAATCTCTAAGTGTCCAAATGTCTCTAAAATTCTACGATACTAGGCTGTTTTCAGCATAAATATAAAAGAACATGAATATAAAAAGCGAAAAGAAATCAAGGGCCTGGTTTAGAAAGAGGAGAAAAATCATTGCAAAATATCTCAGAAGTCACCAAAATGGTTGAAATCTTTTGCAGAAAATTTGCATTCCATATATAAAGCATTACTGGTCTTGGCATAACCTAAGTGCATACTTTAACAATCAGGTAGTTGAATTAGCAGTTTGGGCTATCTCAGTACTAACCTCATTTCATATTAAATGAAAATTTCAAAATAAAACTTAAATCCCTCCCATTTCATTTGTGCACTCTAAACACATCAAAATACATAGCTAAGGCTATACTTCCTTCAACAGAGAATCTTATCAGATGTTAAATCAGATGTTAAAATATTCCATATTTTCTCGGCTGTATGCATTTAATCACTTAAAGAACCACATTCATCTCATTGAAGACTTTCAATGCCATTAAGCAAGTCACTTTTTTCTACATACACATATTTCAGTTAGGATTTTTTAAGATGAAAAAAATTTAACCTATAAAAAGAATATTTGCATATCTTCTCTCTATATTTGTTTTGTTTCTCAAAGCTTCATTTATGTGGAGATCCTTTTCTACATGCTCTGCTGGTTTTAAGGAAGTAAGTAAAGTAAAGGAAGTAAATTCACAAATGGTTATAAATGAAGTAATGAAGACTTTTATCAGCCCCTACAAAGCAGGCTGTGTTTCTCAAGCAAAACCTCTATTTGCCAATAGTAGAGCACATGAAAAGAACACGGTAGAGCTTTTGCTGAAGAATCTTGCACCACAGTCAGCAAAGACCCAAATAGATACTTCCTTTCACTATTTACCTAGTAAAACCTAGGGAGTAATTATCTCCTCCCAAAGAGGTTCTGTGAGGATCAACTTCAAGAATATAAAGTGTTTATACATTTTTTTCTTTTTTTTTTTTAATTTTTTTAACGTTTATTTATTTTTGAGACAGAGAGAGACAGAGCATGAACGGGGGAGGGGCAGAGAGAGAGGGAGACACAGAATTTGAAACAGGCTCCAGGCTCTGAGCCATCAGCACAGAGCCTGATGCGGGGCTTGAACTCACGAACCGCGAGATCACGACCTGAGCCAAAGTCGGATGCTTAACCGACTGAGCCACCCAGGCGCCCCTATACATTTTTTTAAAAACACTTTTCTTTGTTTTTGAGCGACAGAGTGGGAGCAGGGGAAGGACAGGGAGAGAGAGAGACACACACACACAGATCCGAAGCAGGCTCCAGGCTCTAAGCAGTCAGCACACAGCCTGACACAGGGCTCGAACCCACGAAGAGTGAGATCATGACCTGAGCCAAAGTTGAGGCTTAACCGACTGAGCCACCCAGGTGCCAAGAATATAAAGTGTTTAAAAACTGTAATGTACTATAGAAGTAAGAGTTTAGAGAAATAAGTAATTTTCTCAGATAAGGCTCAAAGGTCATTCCAATTTGAAATCATGTAGGACTTTAATCAAAGTAAAAATTCCCAACCACTGGTTAAATTCTGGTGTGTTCATAAAACAATAACAATAAGGAAGCTCCCTGTGGATACAAAAAGATATCCAAAATAAAGTGAAAAAAGCAATATGCTTAAGACTATGTATAGTGTGCCATCTTTTATGTAAAAGAAAGAAAAAATGAGAAACTCTAAGAGGATATGTAAGAAACTAACAACAGTAGGGGGAAGACTAGCTTGATGGTAGACCAGGGGTAGAAGACTTTTCACTGTACCTCTCTTTTTCTTAAGTTTGAAAAAAATTTTACCTATTCAAAAGTGTTCTAACTATTTAAAAATTACACAGGTATTTTTATTTTTTCAACGTTTTTTTTTTGTTTTTTTGTTTTTTTGTTTTTTTTTATTTTAGATTGAGACAGAGACAGAGCATGAATGAGGGCAGACACAGAGAGGAGACACAGAATGGAGGCAGGCCCAGAGGCCGGGCTCTGAGCCATCAGCTGTTGACGAGCTGAACTCCTGGACGAGATGACCGTGACCTGGCTGAAGTCGGACGCTTAACCGACCGCAGCCACCATGGCCCCTACAGGTATTTTTAAAAAGTGGCTGACCTAGGGGCGCCTGGGTGGCTCAGTCGGAAAAGCGGCCGACTTCAGCTCAGGTCACGATCTCTACTGTCCGTGAGTTCGAGCCTGGGCTCTTCAGACACCAGCTCTGATCTGTTTCAGATTCTGTGTCTCCTCTCTGTCAACCATCCTCAACAGGCTCATGGTCTCTGTCTCAAAAAATCAACAAACAAAAAAATTAAAAAAAAAAAAGTATTTATGACCTAGTCATATGAAATAATCTATCCTGAAGTCTATATTTTCTATATTTAACTTCTATTCTCTAGAGGTTAGGTATAAAAGGAAGACATATTCCACAGCAATGTACCATGATTAACAGATGAGTGATGGTAGTATGAAGGTAATGAGTTCAGAAAGGAAAAACAATGTGTGCTAAGATGACTTCACAGAGGACATGAAATGTAACCTAGGCCTTAAAACAAGGAGAGCTTGGGGCACCTGGGTGGCTCAGTCAGGTTAAGTCAGACTTCCTTCAGGTCACAATCTCATGGCTTGCGGTCCATGAGTTCGAAAGCCCGCGCGGGTGGGCTCTGAGCTGATGGTTCAGAGCCTGGAGCCTGCTTCCAATTTGTGTCTCCCTCTCTGCCTCCCCTGCCTTCATGCTCTGTCTCTCTGTCTCAAAAATAAATAAACATTAAAAAAAAAAAAAATTAAAAAAAAAAAAACAAGGAGAGCTTTTTGGATAGGAAAGGGCAATTGGAGGCTTTCAGATAGGGAAATAACATGAGAAAAGTAGATGATTAATGTAAACGCTTCAGGGTACAAAAAGAAGACACCAATCTCTCCCACACCTCCCTTGCTCTACCTTTGGGTTTCACAGATCTTCCAATTAAAGTCCTGGCAGGGTCTTTGGATGCCATATTGTCATCTTTTTCATCTGACAGATGATGAGTACTGGCTCAAAGAGATAAAAATGTATTAATTTTTTTTTAAATAGGGTTATTTAGCAGAACTGAGACTAGAACTCAGGTTTTGTAATACCTGGTCCAACACTCTCTAGTAATAAGGAACATCATGGTTTTAGTTCTCTAAAATCAACAATGATCTTTGTATGTGTAGGTGCTTGGTTCAAATCAGTGATCCCGCTAAAGATTTAGATTTGAACTCTAGACTTCAGCCTTGACAATTAAACAGCACTTTCGTGAAACAGAGGGATAGCAGAATTCAATGACAATTTTCTTAACCGCCTTTATCTTTATTTAAACAAATAGTGAGAGAGACAGGACTCAATAGTAACAAGGACCCCGGAGGAGACCTGAGCACCAGCCCTGCTCGTGCAGTGTGTTCCTGTTCAGTGGTTTGCCACTTGCTGTTTTATAACGGTTTAATGTTTTGCTGTTTATTCGCTCAGTCAGCATCCTTACTGCAGAATAAGGTGTTAATCTTGCTTCTAACAAAAAAAATTTTTAAGTCCAATCCTTAACTGTCAACCCAAACTCATTTTATGAATTTAGCAAAAAGAGCTATAATTTGATCAGAAATTCAGCTTTTTTCAATATGGCCTAGAATAGGGAAGTCTTCAAACAAAATAACAAACTGGATAATACTTCAATGAAAAGGTTTTGTTATTAAAAGAGAAACAAACCATTGTGTGCTATCTTTAAACTTAAAAAAAAAATTTATGAGCAATTTTTTAAAAGCCTAGAGAGTATCTCAAGTTTTTTTAAACAAAAAATAAAATGTATAAAGAAACCAGAATCTTGAAGGCCAGAGTATAAACTACTAACAAGAAGTAAACACTCCATAAGCTTGTCCAGTAGGTTATTATGCTTTTCAGAGTAGACTCATATCATCCATCAGTTGGTTTTAGTCTTGCCCCTGAGAAAGTAGGTATTACTACTATTTTACAGATGAAGAGGCTGAGTCAGAAATTACGAGATGTGCCCAAATCACAGAGTTTCATGTGCAGTGAAACTGGGACTAGAACCCAAGTCTCCTGCTCTGATGCCCTTTTCTCATTTGCCACTTTCCTTCTCTTTCTGGAAAAACAGAGAGCCCTATGACTGTGTAGCTGTGCATGCACGTTGTAGCTAATTTGCAGTGATGGACTGACTGCTGCTCCCCCAGCCCTACCTAGTCAGCTCTCCAGGACCCAACAAGATGGCTCCACTACTTTGTGG